CGAGAATTTGTGGGTTTTTCGTTGGGAACCCTAACCGGAGCCTTTGACTCAAAAGTCTGATCCACAAGGCAGTGGGGCGTAAATCCAACGCAGGAGCGTGAACGAAGCACTAAACAAAGGAAAGGCAGCCGAACCTGATGGATTTCTCCTTATTCTTTTTAAGGTGGGCGGTAATTCTCTTGTCGACTCGATTACTAGCTTCGCAGCATTTGGTTGGAGGAACGTATCCCTTCCTCCTGGGGTGGATCGTTGATCGTCTCGATCTTCAAGAAGATATCACGCAACGACTGCGCCAACCACCCCAGGATTAGTTTGTTCCGATGAAAAATGTTGACTTTCGTTATAATTAAGGGCGAGGAATATTTGCGAACAGCATTCAGGATTCCGACCAGATCGCGGTTGCATCGACCAAATCTTCACTCCGCTTCAAGTCTTCTTAATGCGTCACACATCGTCGGCCAACAACCGCTGTGTTCCTTGACCTAAAAGGAGCCTTCGATTCAGTTGACCGAGAAGCTCTTATGGGGTCGCTGCTTCACAAATGAATACCCCTTAAGTATGTTAACCTATTGCGGTCGCTGTACCTGCATACTTCTGGCAGCGTAAGGGTTTACTCTGGGCTAAGCAAATCGTTCGAAACCAGGATCGGTGTTCGTCAACGGTGCTCAATTCCGTCGTAGACGAAATACTAGAGAACGTACTTGGTGATCTCCGAAATGTAGACATTAAATGGGCAGCTGGAGAAAAGCTGTGCGATTTGGAGTGCGCTGACGACATCGTTTGCCTGTTCAAATGTAGGAATGATACGCAAAGCGTTCATGACAGACTTTCGAGTTCTGCGCTTTGCATCTTCAAAGTGTAAAGTGATGCTACGAGACTGGGTGTCGTCTACCCCAGTGCTGATGCTTGATGGTCAAGAATTAACAGTAGTGGAATGTTTCACCTACTTAGGTAACTGCTGTACAAATAATAGTAGCATAGTCAATAAAGTGACTTCCCGCATTTCCAAGGCTCGAGCAGCTTATGCAGGACTGAAACATCTTTGGTGCGGACGCGATGTTTCTTTGAAACTGAAAGGTCGTGCGCTAGGTATCTGCAATAGAGAGAGTAAGTAAGTACAAGAAACTTTAATTCCAAAATTATGGTCGTTTTTACGAACTCCCTACAGTTATAATAATAAATAATGAATTTTTCCAGTCAATCGCTATCAGAGTTTTCTGATCATCCAAGGTCGTTAAATGACTTTGTCTGTTTTCATGTACGCTATGTTTTCACCGTCCTTCTGGTAAGTAAAATGCTCGACGTTTTTGTCAACAAAGTTCGACTGTAATCATCCATCCTCCGAAAGCTGCACGCTCAAAGGAGAAAGATGGAATGCTTTTCGCTTGTATTGTTATTTTTCTGGATGTATTTTTGGTGCTAATGATACTTTCAGTACGATAAAGCTCAAGCCAGTTTTGTGGTGCTTGCAGCACTAAACTCATCTGAATGGCTTCCCTGTACACTCTTGTTTTGCAGTTAATTTAACTGAAGTCCAAGCTCAACAGATATTCGACGAGTTTTTCGAAGAAGTTTTTGTTGAATGTGAAGAAAAGGTATTGGCATTTGTAACAACAATATTTTTTCTTAGTATGGTGAAATTGAAGAGATGAACGTCTGTGACAACTTGGGGGATCATCTGGTGGGTAACGTGTATATAAAGGTAAGTCTCTATTTTTGTGTCAATCGATTCACTTAGTTCCGTCGTGAAGAGGATGCTGAAAAAGCTGTTCAAGACTTAAACCAGCGATGGTTTGGCGGTAGACCGGTTCACGCGGAGCTTTCTCCGGTCACGGATTTCCGAGAGGCTTGTTGTCGACAATATGAATTGGGGTGAGTGATTCCTGCCTTTTAACAAAACCTGATAACCACTGATCATATGAACCGTTTTCATCTCCTGATTTGTACGATAAGGTTTTGCCACAACCTGAATCTGCATATTATATCTGAAAAACCTTGGATTGTTAGTTTCGTTTGAACGTCAAAATGTATTGCTGTGTTGTACTTATTCTAATTGTAAAGCACTAAAGCTAAATATCAGAATGAAGGCTATTAGCAGAGTTTGACTAAGATATATGTACTATGAAACGACAAGTAAACGGAATAGTTCCTAAGCCCTTTTGGGATGTCAAACCGATAATCCTTACGAGAGGACAAAAAATCGCTGGTATTCGGCGTACTACGCGCTTGACAGTAATTTGTTAATTAATTACGATGGAGTAATAAG